CAGTCTGCACGTAGGGCAGATCCAGTCTGTGGAGTAGAAATGGATTGAGCGCAGGCCGGACAGAGCACCTCTTGTGGGTTCAGGCGTTCCACCTGGAGAACAGGAACGGGTAACCTCGCCATGTAACCGGGAGGGAGCAGACTGAGCAAGAGTGCGGTCCAGGGTTGGGATGGATACCCTGGGTTAGGAGGAGAAGGACGAGCAGGAAGAAGAGGTGAGAAGAGGGTAGGGCGTAAGGTGTTCCGAGGATAAGCGGCCAAAGATGTGGGTAGGGGAAAGGGGGAGACCGAGGTTCACGGAACCTTAAGCGAAAAATTTAAGAACTGAAGGGCCTACATCCGGCGGCGATCCGGGCGGGGAGCCTCTGCCGTTTGGACTGTTCCACTGATATGCCGGGCGCACCCGGCCGACGGGCAGGCCAGGGTACCCCCGCGATGAAGACGCGGCAGAGATCGAGACGCGGCAGAAATAAATACATTCATCACTGACATGTATGGCCGTCCGCGGATCCTTATATGAAGAATTTAAAAGCAATTTAATGCAAGCCCGCGATATATGAGACATGCTAACAACGTTTACTCAAGATAATACAGTTGTAATGTCAGTCAAATATCCGAGGCACTTACGGCTTAACTAAATACTGGTTTTGGCAACTTAAATCTAGGAAGGCTAGTCGGGTTGGTCATGGAATTACTTGGTAATGTTTAGCTAAAAAAAAATCTAACGGGGTTTACAATAATTAATTTAGGAAATGAAAACCCAGTGAAAACCAAATGGTTTCATTCAAAAGAGATGAAAGGGTAATCTGATGCTCCTTCTGCTTTATAAATGCCATGTGATTTCAGTTTTAAACAAACGTTATTTTACGTTAATGCTTTCTTTTCAATAAGGGTATCAAATACTGCTAATATATCAGTGACGGACTGACGTAATACAGTAAACTCATTGCAATTAAGTTCTTTCATTACTCACGCTCTATCAAGGAGCACGCAGGCAAGTTCTCGAATTTGATCTCGGTTGGCTGTCTCTTGTCAATTGTCATGGAGTCTTGCCATCCTCGTCTGACAAATCTTCTGTCCCCATGAGTGAGCTTGAGTTTGAGGCTCGTGGCATAGCTGCAGAACTGCCACCTTCAATAACAGGAGCAGCTGAGCTCTAACGCCCATATCATGAACTGCAGAATATAAGGTGCTGAAGCATCACCATTACCAGATGAAAAATAAACAGACCCTAAAGTAGCAGCAACAGGAGCTACAGCTTACATTCTTCATGACTACAGCGCTTCTAATGTCATGATATGGCTTCCTGTTATTATTTGTCATTGAGAAGCAGTCTGGAATAGAAATAAATGAGAAAACATGTGCATATTCTAGCAAATTAAAAATGAATCATACAATCAAGTTTGGACAGGAAAGTAATTTCAAATCACAATTCAATTATATGGACTTTAGCTGTTATGGACTTGTCATTATTATTGGTGTTATCTTGGAAGTTGACCAACATATTTTGAATGATTCACTACTGAGTAGCAACGGTCAAAATGTATATATGTGAGCAGACAATTCTTCATGGCATTTTAAAGCCATGCCAGGTATGTCCTTTTCTAAGCAGCACATATTTATATCTACTTACTCACTTACTGAGAAATTGTGACCAGGAGGTTTCTTTTCATATATAATTCAAACTATTCATCAATAACTAGAAGATATATGCATTAAACTGGCTAGACTCTAGAGCATGACTATATTTTATTATAACTGTGACTATATTTTATGTGAGAGAAGAGAAAAATATTAATAAGAGGTAAGGTAAATTATTATAATATTTAAATAGATGAGAAAAATCCAATGAAGTTCATTAAAATAAACAATGTCATTAAAACAAGAATTAGTTGGTGTCTATTGGAAAACAACAGCTTTTCATATCTATACTGTAATTACTACTAATTAAAATCAATTTTTTTGAAAAATTTCATTAATAGACAACATTCTGTATCATAATGGAGAATTTGCTTGATCTCTGATTCAATTAGAAAGTTTTTAGAAAAGTGACTAGTGAAAAATCACCATTAATGAGATTTCATACTAGGATATCAAAAATTTTAAGAAGTTCTTCTTAAAAATTTTAAGAAGTTTTAGCCCAATTTTCCAGTTTGGAGATGAAAGAGTTAAAATTTTCAAAGTCACTTCCTTTTAGTTTTACATTTTAATTCATTTGCAATGATATAGGTACTAGACAACCAGTTGATGAATGCTTTTTCCAGTATTAGGTATTGTAGTCATGTAGCCTATCTACAGGTCAAAATTTGGTGTTTTGTCATCATCACATCAAATTTTGTAGGTCATCTGAGTGATCTGACGGTCTGACATGCTGAAGATGAATGAATTTGGTACTTCATAGAAGTTGATAGAACAAAGTTCCTAGTTATTATTTCTAATAAAAATCTAATGAATATTGAATAGCTAAGTAATATCCTGTCTTGCTAAGCTGCTTACAAGTTACAACTCAATCATATCAATAATCAAATAATCTATTACTATATTAAAATTATTATTATTTTATTCAACAAGGTGGATTCAGGAATCAGGAGGCATAACATATAACTTATATTTATTAAGTAATGAACAGGCGAACATATGACATTAAATCCAATAATAATAAACCTAATTTTTTCATTTCATACTTAGGCTCTCAGCAGATATTTTGGAAAAGTGGAACTGATCAAGAAACCAGGCTGGATCAATCTTAAATACCTACCTTGGCTACATGAGCAAAATCCACAATTACTACAATTCTACCTTGGCCCGCCAGGCCGCCACCAAGGTACTCAAGGCTAATTCCTAAATCCTATGTTCAGTGTTCACTATTTTTCCAGCAGATGCCACATGCCAGATCTGGCAGATCACCAGATGAATTATTCTGAAATATACTTGTCTGGGCACAGTCTGGCTTTCATGAAAGTACAGCAAAATTTATATCAATTATCAACAATTATTCTCATTCACATTCACCAGGTTGAAACTTGAAATAAGGTATGAAGTTATGAACTCTGAAAATTAACATCTACCATTCCTGGTAGCCTGCCGTTGAGTGGTACAGATAACCACAGCTCCACAGCCGGCCATAGTGATAAACCAGATTTTCTAGAATCAGTAGGCTAATTTTTAATTTCCTCATCTACTCAAGATGTAAGCAGCTTTTTTTTATGATAATGCTGGTATCCATGATACCTTACAGGTTTACTTTAATGGGATTCAAAAATGAACTTGAGGATGACTGGAAGAACCTAACTAACTCGGTATTGCCACTTTAATATGTATGATAATTCTGGTATCCATGATACTTTACTGGTCTACCTACTTATAGGACTCAAAAATGAACTTTAGGGAGAGTCTTAAAAACTCTCTGCTTTGCCACCACTATACGCACACTAGCACTGTTCACGGACCATAGGCCACTGGTGTTGCAGCTCTGAGTCTGCGACGCAAGGACTAGCTTAGGAGTAATGCCAATGGTGAGACTACGGCTCAGGCTCTCAAGAAGTGAAAATGCAACTGTAACTTGAAGTCTTGAACGTCGGTACAAAGAGGCTGAATTTATTACATAATGAAGGAAATACCAGGATCTAATTCTAATAGATGAAGATAATAGTTCAGCAATCACTCATGTCCACTGTGACGCCTAAAAGCTCTGGACAGCCAAGATTGTTCGATTCACATGGCAAGAACAAGAAGCGTTATCCTTAACGTGCGCAACGAAACCAACGATGCAAGGAATGTTGCCATAATAAACTGATTACGTTTCTATTCTTGTAATTGGTTCAAAGATTTGTTGTGTAAAAGCGCATCCCAGCCAGATACTGAATAAGAACATAAAGTTTGATAATAAACACGCTCGTGCTCAAAATGTGTAATCATCATTCGTTTATAATGAAATTTAATATAAGGAAAAGGTGAATATAATGAAAAATTCCAGAATATATGAGCATTTAGCTATTCAACGTGCATCCCGGCAGGATAGTTTGAGCAATGAATGATGGAGAATGGGCCTAACCCATTAACATACTCGCGGAAATTAAATGCAAAACTTTTATAAAAATTGAAATGGGGATTTTCTCGGTGAAGACATGTTTACTTTCCAATAAATTAAATCAGCAAAAGTTATTACCTTGAATTAATAGACTACTAAATAGAGTTGTATTTGGAGTTTAAATCATCTCAAATCAGCTTAAATTCTAACGAAATTAATTTTTTCATACATATAATTTCACCAAACTTTCAGAATATTCTAGAATCAAATTATGAGAAAGTTATTTCTAAATGAATCTCAGAATACAGCTAACTATTTCTTAGAGATCCTCTATAAAATAATCATAAATAGAACGAGCTTTTAGTCAAACTGTAAGCATTCATCACATTTAAACTGATTATGAAGTGAGCTCACATTCTTTTTGTCAGATAGAAGTATTCCATTTAACACGTAAATGTCAGTGTTCTGAGATGCATAAAAATGCAATATCTCTGTGTAAATATCGGTATACGATATCAGCAACAGTCTTGTTCAATAGGAGTATATGTCAAATTTTAGGTTTAGCTTCGAACACCAACTTACGCACGCACGTGTTCGATTGAGGAATCGATTATATATATAGAGCAGCCGAAATATGGTTGTGAGTAGCAGGCGGCCCTCGTTTGTAAACAACCTTGAAGTACCATGCGAATGGTCGCCGATGGTCGCAGAGCGGCCAGTCCATCACCTCGCGGCCCACGAGCGCCATATCGCCGAGATATGGGAAAAACGGCCAATCTGCCGCTCTGCGCTTATAATCGCCCTCCACGCCGATAAACACGCGCGCCACGGCCTAAAATTTTAACTGGGAATAGAACCAGAAATGAACAGCGGGATATCTTTATTGATCTTAATTCTCGGCAAACACATTGATTTTACATTAATGAGGATTTTATAATAGTAATAAGTACATAAAGCATTAAGTAATTATTATCATAGTTTTGTTTTAGTTTTTACTACTTTTTATTCAAGTTTTTCATTATAACTCATCGCACACAAATATGGGATCAGAGTTTCCTTGATGCGTTTCCAATTATATCAAAGAAAGCTATAAGAACACATTACATAAGCAAATACATCTTGTATCCTAAGGCAAGTTGAAGCTGAAAATATTTCCAATTAATTTATTTGAAATATTTCATGTATTGTATTGTCAGGTAGAATTCAACTGACGCGTTTCCTTTACATCGGTTAAATGAGAGCAGAACAATAATTCGATTCCTTTATTAAACCTTCTAAAATAACTGAAAGTGTTATATACTAACGTGAGCGCCAACTCTCGTTATCTGTGGACACTCGTTGCTTGGGGTAATGGCAGGTGGATAACAGTGTCGCCAAACTCAAATTATATCAAGGTTTCAAAAATCGCCATTTAAAGAGGAACAGGCCATAGGATGAGAGGATTTGGTCAGGACAAACATTCAAATCAAGAAATTGCCGTGGAATGCAAGTATGGCTTAGAAGTCGATGAAACGAAACTATAGAAACGGGGAAATACATCCCATTAAATCCCCTGGCCATGGGGCTAGTAGCGGCAGCTACTACGACTTGCCAATATTAGCCGCTATTCATTACAGTACAACAGGCATCACGTGTTAGGTCACTTGTCCTTGCAAATACTAGGTCCTATTTACATATTTTATATTTACTGGGTCAGCTAAAACAACAATCGAATCTTGCATCTTACTGAAGTTAGGCGCTTAGGCTTTCTCATGCCGGCTTTGTGAAGAGCTAACGTGGCCTTTGCTTCAGGCCTATTACAGTTTCTCGGAGCAGCTTCTCGTTAAGTTCGCACTGCCATGCAATGTGCTTAAGAAACATGATGTGTTGATCAACCGAGAGAACATGATCATGAATTTTAAATGAAATCGAAGAAGCATACAACTCATCACAATGAAGCTACTGGGATGTTTGTATCAAGGGAAATAGGTGAATACTGAACAAGCGCACGAAATAAATAATGGATTACTAGGCTTGCAAGAAAGACAAAAAAATACAATAAAAAGTCCAGCAGTGAGTATTTAAATCTAAACAATGTAAGCGGCGCATAGCCTATTTCTTCATTGCCGACACTTCTATTCTATTCTATAGCTGGCACACCGTTCCAATTAACTTAGTGACGACGTGTATCTTGGGGACCTCAAACTCGGCATGCAATCTGACATCGGATTTGCAAATAGTAATAGACGGAATATAGATTTAAAAATGAGTGTACAGAAAACTTAGTATCTATATAATAAAATTAGCTCGTTCAAAGCCGGATGAGACAACACATAGATGATATATGCAGGCATTATTCCCATAAAGTGAAAGTTCAACTATAAATATTCGGTGAAGGTAGTGAGCAAAAGAAAATTTCTCACTCATATTTTCATTGATCCCGTTTCTTTACCGGCAAAATATTTTATTACCTCGATCTATCGGATTTCCATGAAAGTATTTTAACATGAAAAAATTATCGCAATCACGACATCGTAGTTTTATTCAAATTATTAAAAAATTTCACCACTGGAATGAAACTTTTGCGCTCAGAATATCAAAATAAAATAATTTCGGCAGCGAAGTCACTAGCGGATAAATTTTATGGTTCCTGATATTTCGAACTAGAATTTCAACGTAATTACTGACCATTATATTTTGCTAAATTAGAGCCTAGAGATACATTTAGTGTGCAAATCGTCATCGTTCAAGTAGTGAGTTGCATGCAACTCATCGATGGAATTTCTCCTCCAACTCCTTGGTCAGGCAAACGCAGTTGCTGGAGATCACGTTGTACGGCCTGCTAAGATGTTCAGATTCCTTCATCCATCCAATGAAATCCTTCATTGTTTTATTTGGCCGCGAGGAAGATGAATGGAACTCGTTGCGACGGCTGCATTCAAGCCTGCAGCCACTACCCTCTATGATCCTGGAATTGTTCAAGCACTTGCTCATGACATCGAACACCGATAAGCTTCGCTGAATTACTATTCCATCATGGAACTTGTCCAATGACCAATATCCCCTTCCGATCTTGAGTATAACGAAATTATGCATGAAGCTTTCGGGGAATAGAACAAAATTATCCTTCAAACTTTCGAAGAATTGAATGAAATTATGTTTAAAATCTTCGAGATATTGGTACAAGGAGGCCGAATTGTAACTGATTGTAGCACTTTGTTGGTTTGACACTAGACGCGTAGCATAATAAGACACTTCTTCCACTACATCCCCGTCCACTCTGGAGCAGCGCTCCATTTCGTCACACAACTGCTCCAGAGTCATGTGGCACACGCGTGTGTCTGGGGCGTAGTCAGCCCTCGGGACGAACCTGATCGTATTACTCCAGTCCGCTCCAAAAGACCCGCTGCGACTTCCTACAGGACAAATCAAAAATTTAAAAAGTCAACAATTTCAAATCTTAGACCACATAAAAGAGTGTCATTTAATAATTGCGCGAATCAGTTAGAGTTTTCATGAGCGTCAATAACTCGGGTATCTATTTCTACATCGTAATATGATTTGTACGCAGAACTTGAATAAAAAATGCAGTTGATTCTTACCCAAACTTCAACTCAACTGAGCAGAGATATGGTCATGCAATTTTCTGTACAGTAATTGTTCACCAATCGCAAGTGCATGTCACGACCCTAACAAGCACCATCTTCCTGATATTGTTTTCAAAACATAAGTATTCTAAATGGTATGTTATGCTAACCTCCAGGAAAATACACTTTCTTCTTTATGTACCTCCATTACTCTTTTATTTTACCTCAAAACTACTCAATCGGTTCTGCCTCACCCTGTATATTGAGAGGTTGAGACTGTATTGACCTTTTAGGCAATTTGAAAGATTTTCCACCCTAATACGAGTATTCTTATGAAAATATTTAATTTAAATCTTTATATATGTGAATTTAAAATTAGAAACAAAACCATTACAATTATAAGACTATATATAAAATAATTAAATGCGGTGAATGGATATAAAAATTTGAATTGTGCACATGTTTATTTCAAACAGTGTTAGCTTTTCTCTTAACTTAAGTCTCGTTTCAAGTCGTTTGAGGTTTGTTGGGTTATCGTTCAGTTTGTGTTTAGTATTGATTTATTGGCCTGAATTAAACGGGAACAGTGCAGTCAGTACCTCAGTCACTACTAGTCGGTGTGTATAGAGGGTAGAGTCTGGTAGATTTATAGGACATAAAACTTTAGATCTATTGATAGTGCTGTACACTGTGCTATCAGCTACCTATCTGTTAGGTGACTCTTCAATGTTTAGAAGATCTGCATTCCTGAAGTGTTTTTGTATAGTGATGCCAGTTAAATGGTCAATATTTAGCTCGTTACCTTGCTCCATACAAACTTTACAAAGCTACTGAATGTAGACTTATCAATAATTGTTTACCCAAATATTCCTATAAGTGGTAAACACCACCTTGGCCTGTTGGCCATTATTGAAGGCAATAAGTGCCCTTTTTAGCCATCCATTATGATCCATATACAGTTATTGTTAGTAGGCTAAGTGCAACATAAAAAATAACCTTTCAAAAAGACAAAAAAGCTAAAAAAATCAAATAAATAAAAAAAATCATGAAAAAAATAAAAATAATCGATTTTTCTTCTTGATTTAAAAAAAATCAAAAAAATCACCAACCTTGTTATTGGTTATATTTTAGGAAGGCTTACATGTTATTGTGCTATATGTTTTGGAGGCTGTTTCGATATCTGAGTAATTGAATCTGGGTCTATCCAATTGGTGTGTGAACTGTGTGTCAATAGCCAATTTATCTCATATAATTTGTATCATCCTAACCTTACTAACCCCATCTCATCCTGCGCTATGGTGTATATCAACATCTTTGATGTTAGCTGGCACTAGCATTTCCGAATATATATTCCTTGGCAGTGCCAGGGGTTTTTAGTAACCTACCCTGCCAGTAGTGTCCAGGGCCATACTGTGAACCTCTTTAATATCGATATTAAACTTACCGGGACCGAACGCCTCCCCTTACAATGCCAAGCGTGAGGAAGCGTGATATAGCGAGGCATTATTGTAAACTGTAAACTAATCTGGCAATGATTTACTTGGTAATGACCCAACCCAAGTAATGAGGCAGCGTGGTAGAGGCAGTTTAACTGAACATGAATCGAACACAACATTTTTGGTGGATTCACTCACCACTTCCGAGATAAATATTCAGAAGGCGTATCCCGATTCCCCAAAATCCCTCGCCAGTTCGATTAGTGGTATTTGCGCTAAAGCTCAACATCAGCTCTTGCTCACTCATTTTGTATTGTTCGTTGATTTCCTGAAAGAAAAACAAGCCTGTAGAAAAAAACTACCATTAAGATTTCTGACACCTAAGACTTCAATGTCAACTATCCCTTATAATAATAGAAAACAAAATATCTTCACATGGGCCTCTAATGCTTAACCTGAATTATTAAGTCACATTTTAATAATTATTCTTATATTATGAATTACCGTATTATATAATTTGATGGCATATAGTTGTGTAATTTAACAATACAATAATATATCATATAATAAAATTATATAATATGTATACAATAACAATAATACAAAATAGTACCATAATTAGAAACATAGGAGTAGCTCTCTGAATCGTGACAGGAAATTGTATTTGACGGTCCTTCACTAGACTTTTGAGAAGCTGTGGGAGTGCAGTTAGTGACATCAGAGGATTGTGTTTAGACTTTAGTGTGGTAGTCTACAACGATGGCTCCATGTAGGTAGGTAAATATAAAACACTCCCATAACTATCCCATAATGAGCGCCTTCAAGATTTTGCAATTTTATACACCTTTTGATAGATCACAATAGACTAATCTATCTGAAGATACTTTGGTACAAAACCAATTGATTATGCTATGTTTTATTGGTGCAGCTATAATACAATCGACGTAATTTGAAACTTGAACAACTTTGTATGGATATGTGATACGCCGGCTACATGGTAGGTGTTATGAAGCGAAGCATTTTGCTATAGAAAGTTTTAGTAGTAGGCGTTGACGGGAAAAGCTCCACATGAGATTTTATTTTGGTTAATAGGTCACACAAATCATACATTAGGCTTACACTATAGGTAGGACTAGACTCCTATACCGCTTCGACTATTGAAAACGTTGCAGCTGAGCGCTGTTTGTTTTAACCTTCAATTAACTATTTAATGATGCGAGATTTCAGCTGGTATGACGTGAAGGCTTTATGTTAGCATTAATAATATCTTGGCGTTCCATTAGTTACTTACACAAGGGGGTTTTGGCCGACAAGAAGGTGCGATGCCGAGCTTGATGAAGAAGATTACGCTTCACAATTGAAGGTTGGCAGAGAGTTTCCTCAAATACCCTCGCTGGTATTTGCCAACACTGTGGAATAGACAGGTCTTGGATAACGATTGCGATATCTGGAATCGTGAGATTGGGTATTAGATTCTGAGGAGATTGAGATTACCCAGCATGTTTCAACTAAATGAATACCCCGTGAATTTATCGCATCGCAAGTCAGCAGAAAGGTTTCGCGAAACGGGATAGGAGATAAAAAACTTTTTCTGTTGTTTGAGTTACAAAAAAAAGGGCTGGCGTTTCTGCTTTTTTTGCTTAAAGCTTACTGAGAAAACACAAACACAAAGATTGGTTACCACAAATTCATCCTAAATGCCCTCGTTCACTTACCCTCAATGATTCGAACAACAAATTAATTCAAAGATGGCACCACTGATGAATAAAAATGAATCATAAGTATGAAATGTGCCGCTTTTGATCCTCCGACTTTAACGCTTCCATTACTGTTAACAATTACTAGAATTTGAAACAAGAACCAACACCAGGACTAGAAGCTAAACAACGCGTTGCAATTCATCTATGTGACAATATTTCTTCTCGCTGCTGGTGCCCGAGATGTAAACATCTTTCCTGATCACGTCATGACGCCCATACTATGACTATAGACACGGCAGAAGAACAGAATACACAAGGCTATGCAAAAGTATATGTTCAGTCTTGAATTGCATAGCAGTGAAGCACGCAACGAAAGAAGTTAAAGTCCATTGTTGATGTAAAACCAATGTCACTTGAAAAGATTTGGTCAGAAGGCCTGTTTTTAAATCTGTGAACAAGTCAACAAAAGTACGTGAATCGGCTATTTCTTCAACGCAGAAGATGCTATACTATGAGCAAGTTCATAATGACACCAACGTAAAACACAATAACAACTTTAATCTCAACTCAGTGACACCAATTCTAGAGTCTAACAGATAGAACATGCCAATAGGAAACACACGAAAACTGTTAGCATTAGCCATTATGCAATGAGCACGATCAGCACCATCCTAATCAGTATTCCTACTTACATTTGCTCCAAGCGCGTAGTGCTGCCAGAGTCCAGTCCAGAAGCGAGGCTAGCTGGCGACTGAGAAGGGAACCTTTTGGATAACTTGTATTATTCTATCATTCAGGACACTATTTTCACACTCATGACAGTGATGACACTATTTCAATACATACAGAACACTATTTATACGTTGTGTCCGAGGTTGCGCCCAAGACATTGAACTCATTATATGAAGCTCTACCAGAGGATCGGGTTACGTTGACTAAGGTAGTGAGGGATAAGTAAGACATAAGTCCTGATAATGTATCTTGGAAACGGGGTGGTAATGCAGAGTTGCGATAGAGTTATAAGCTACAGCGTCGACCGTAAGGTCGGAGAACTCTACCGACACGCTATACATCGCGGAGTGCTCATCAGCTACTGGGGGCTCTGGTTGCTAGGCCTTTTATAAGCTTCACTTCCGCCCACTACTGAGGTCTCGATCGCGTGATCTAACACGTGTCTATCAGATGTTGACTCGTCCTCAATCTCTATCAGTTCAAGTGAATTGACCCGGACAGTTGGCATAGTGGGGAAAAAAGGAAGAAAAATAAAATAAGCCTAGCTAAAACGTTTAAAAACGACAAGTGACAAAGGATGTCATAAAAACCGTGTTGATACATGTTAACAGAGAGGTGTGGTGCGAACAGCATTTGCCTTAAAATCTCGAATAGAAAAAGAAGATACATTATTAAAATGCCCTTTAAATTGAAGAATTTTTAGGCTAACGCCGGCAATGCGTAGTTAAGATTTTTTGCCAATATTGGATTCAGCCTACACTGAAGTTTTGAGCATCATTCAGAGAAAATCCAGCAAAATGATTATGTTATAGTTACATTTCAAAATCGCCCTCAGACTCTTTATAATTCAACACCAATTTTCAAACAATCGGGAGCATTCGGTCATGTCATCCTTCATAAATGTAATTTTTTACAATGATCTCTGAAAGCAGAACTCCATTTCGATACTCAGACACAAAGCTTCCAGCATTGTTAACAATTAAATGGTATAATGGTTTTGCATGACAAAAATAGGGAGCCAGGAATACCTACGGCTCACGCTCCGCCATGCGATTAAAAATGATGGCAACTTTTGTGTCGTTCTGTCTAGTTTTGGTTGATAATCAGTTACTTGTATAGTAAAAACTTTTGCTTTCACGTTGGGCGTCGTAAAAACTTTAAATGAACTTGAAGATTAGTGTTTGCATATAGGCTATAGTCAACAATTCCAAGCTCATCCAGAAATGAGCATTGAATCCTTCTTATCTTTTGATTCCATGTCTCCAAGCGGTTTTCTCAGTCATCCCGACACGACGGGCACGTTTGTTTACTGCTAACTTCCATGCTCAAGCGTAAACAGCGCTCTGTTGTCCCAAACGTTTATGCATTCCGAAGAATCACGTAGCTTGTTTGCTTCGTGTTTTCTGCTTTTTTTATAATTGATTTTAAGACTTCGGGTATGAAGAAATCACACCTCCCAGTCTGAGCACAACTCGATTTCATCCGAGTCTTTTCCTCTTGCCACCAGTTGTTTCACAGTCTAATTTCTAGCTCACTCTCACCAGCCGGTGGATGTTGTGTGAAGGAAGAGACGAAAGAATTAGTCACTTGGCATCTTCATAGGGTGTTTACCATGCTGCAGCTCAGCAGGTATTGTCCCAGCCGACGAATTCCTGCTGTGCGTATTATCTGAGGGATATCTCCCCCACCAAGAGCTGATACAAGGTTCCAATTAAGGAAGTGAAAGATTTTCCAAGTTGGAGCGAAACTCCCTCCTCAGGTTTGTGTAGAGCGAACACTGCAAGATGAAATGATTAATAGTGTCCTCAGTATTGCACTTAAGACTCATACTGGAATTAGACAAATTGAAACGAGCCAAGTGAGCCTCACCCCAGCATGGCCAAGTCGCAGGCGAGCCACAGCACATTCCATAGATCGCGGTAAAGATCCATAAGCCACATAATCAATTGATGCTCCCAGGCCCAGCCTGATGCTTTTCCCAGGCCCAATTGATGCTTTTCCTGAGGTCTGCACTTCTTGTGACCACCAGGATGCCCAATGTTCCGAAAATTTGGATTTCAACACTCGTATCCACTCCTCAAAGCATAACGTGGATCGTGCAGAGCGATCATTCGAGTGCGTAAAATTGGCAATTCTGTCAGCAATTTCATTGCCAAGAATCTGGCTGTGACCACGGATTCAGCACATCAACACTCTATCGAGCCCCTTAATTTGCATCAATTTTTGAATTTTAATTACAATCATCTATAAGAGCCACCATAAGTGGAAGAAAGGAACTGCGGTGCTGTTCGTGAATCAGACAACATCAGAACTGGCTTATTCTGTAGAGACACGTCCATGATGGCAAGCTACACAGCATGGTATATAGCAAAAAGTTCAGCCCCCAGTACAGTATGCATTGGATTCAGCAGCTACTCAGTGGCTGTTTGGGTTGATGGCACATATAGACCGGCAGAGACAGATCAAGTGGCAGTCCTTGATCCATCAGTATAGACCTATGTTGAGGTTATAGATCTATGGTTGTCTGTATAGATCTATATTGTATAGATGTTGAGGTTTATTAATACTGCTTCCAGAAGTCTTGAAAGCAATTCTGTGTAAATTGGGGTGGCATTGAGTTGACGGCAGAGTTCAGCAGATCCACGCAGATGCTGGAGGAAAGATCTACATGCGGTGGAATAGCAGACATTAGCGATGTTGGAACTCGCTGCACAGATGGTAGGCTCAACTCCTGAAAGCTCTGACATGCTTTGTCAATGAAAGGCGTGTGCAGAAGGTTCCCCTGATCCAAGAATCCCATAAGCCACCTGGTCCCTTGCAGGCATGTACATGTACCTGAGAGTCCATTTCATGAATAGGTAAAGAAATCTAAGTTGCAAAGGGGGAATAATACTTTCAACTTGCAAGGATAACATAGGCGTCGTACGACGAGCACCCAGGATGTATCTGAGTTTTGAATGTTTCAAGGCGGTTCAACAAAGACTTTGGGATATTCCCCAAAATTGTGGCACCATATTCCATATTACTTCGTATGAATGCCACATATATTCTTCGCAGTAGCTCTCGCGAAGCTCCCCATTTCTCTGAACTAAGGGCTCTAAGCACTTGTAGCATTTTCAAACAGGCTGTGCGGGTTTGCCTAATATGTTCCTTGGAGGTAAGATGAGGAGAATCAAAATAAAATCAAATAAAATCCCAACACCTTCTGGTGTACCACGTACTGGATATTTCTGTTGCATCCTCAAAGCGATACATCTGGAGCAGCACGGTGAGACGTGAAGATCTGGTAAGAACACTTTGCTGGGTTAAGCTTTTAAGCTTAAACTGCCAGCGATTGCACCACTCACCAATCTCATCAAGATACCGCTGCATGCATCCCCGTATCTCAATTAGGGAATGCCCATTCACAAATAGTGTTATGTCATCAGCATAACCAACCACCTTCACATAACATAACATATTGATCTCGGCGCTGAAGTGTAGGCCTGATGTGGCCTGTCGCCGATTCTTTTCCTTTTCGTGCCTTGTTCAAAGAAGTTCAAATATCGTTTCAATTGACCGGATCTTTTCATGACTGACGATAGTTTCAAGTAGCTACTAGACTTCCACCGGGTTCGATATGGTGCTAGGCATTTCAAATCTGAACATATATTTTTCCATAGCTTTATCTAGACTGTTCTTGAACGCGTTCATACTTAGAGCGTTAACGATGTCATCGGGGAGGCTGTTCCACATGTCGGTTATTCGAAGCGAGAAGAAATTTTGTCGCGTGGAGAAGTTGCAGCGCAGTTTTTTTAGTTTATAGCCGTGGCCCTTGGTGTTGGTTCTTGTTTCAAATTCTAGTAATCCTTCGGGGACCTTGTATAAACCATGAGTATACTTGTATACTTCAATGAGGTCCCCACGCAGACGTCGATAACTGAGGCTTGGAAGCTTCATAATCTTCAATCTTCAATGAGTGATGGCACTGATGGGTCGATACTGGGAGATCATGCAGCATCACATTGAAAAGTGTCGGTGCCAGTGCAGCACCCTGCGGGACTCCAACTCTCACAGGCTCTGACACTGATTTACTTGTTCCAACCTGCATATGAATAGTTCTATTTTGAAAATAGTTATACAACCAGGCCAGCATTTGGTCTCCCACTTCAATACCATGCAGTTTGAAAAGCAGTCCATCATGTCACACACTGTCAAATGCTCCCTCAATGTCCAGATAAACAACCAGGCAACATTCATGAGCAAGGAGGCATGCTGCAGTAATGGCATTATTTATTAGGTGCAGAGCATCATTATTGTACTTTTCCTTTTCGAAAGCCAAGTTGAAGTGAAGAGAAAACCTTCCGTCTCTTCATGGTATATTCCAGGCGTCGTAGGACCATACGCTCCATGAGTTTTCCCATGCAAGGAAGAAAAGTGATGGGTCGATACCCATTAACTTGTTCTTGTGACTTTTCTGGCTTGGGGATGGGCACAGCAATTCCATGCTTACACGTTTCCGGAATAAAAAAACAGAAATCCAACTTGTGTTCATGAGAGATAAGAGCTCCTTCTTGAACAAAGGTGATGCCTTTGCGAAGAAAATATTCATGATCGAGTCATGTCCAGGAGCAGTATTTTTCAGACCTTTCAGAGCCAAAGAAAATTCCCCAGCTGTAAAAGGGACACAATGATAGTGTTTAAAATTGTCTATCTCTCACAACCTCTGAGGCTTCTACTGCAGGTATAGGACCCTCAGGTGCAACAGGTAAAAAGTAATTAGAAAACAACGAGGCTTTGGCAAAATCATCATCATGGGCTGCATCCAGCAGTGGATAGGAAGAATAACTTATTAGCCCAGGCCTACCCTGAATACTGCGAATTTCCCCTCAGGTCCTTTTGTTGGTAGTGGAAGAGGATATAGTACCAATATACTGAACCCAGCTTTGATGATGCTTCCTGAGTTTGATGTTCCGGGCCACAGTCTCACAACGCTTGTATTCTATAAGGTTAGCAGGAGTTGGAGAGCGCCATAGTCTTCCTTTGGCCTTGCGCCTTAGAGCCACTGCTTTTGAACATTCGCCATCCCACCATGGTGTTGCGAAATGGCAGTGTCTTTTTCCTGAACTCTGAGTAACTGTTGTAGAGGCAGCCTTCA